GCAGGTGGCCATTCCCAAGCGCCAAGTGACCACCCGCCGCCCACAGCCCGGACGGGCCGACAACAGCCAGGCTGGGGGTCCCTGGTGCGAGGTGGACCCCAGCCCGGCCCCACCGCCCCCTTCCGTCCCTGTGTCCTGGGCTCGGTCATCCTGACGCTAGAGCGCCGAGGCTGCATTTGAACAGTAAAGAGGTGTTTTTAGTACTTTGTGTGCCCCTGCCTCATCTCTCTCTCCTGGGCTGGGGGCTGGGGTGGTGGGGGCTGGAGACCAGGCGCAGGGTGTTCCCAGCCCAGCTCTGCTGTCAGCCTGACCTCCTGTGCCACCTGCCTGCTGTGGGCCCTGGGTTGGTCCCAGTCCCCCAGCAGAGAGAATGCTCCCTGGCTGGTCGGCCATGGCCCCAGAAGGAGCTCGGGGGCTCGCTCTCTGTGCTCTCCAGCTGCCCCAGCTGCCCCGGCCCGGGCACAACGTAGCCCTTCTCCCGCTTGAGGACCCACCCCCCTGGACATGCGACAGGCAGGAGCTCCCAGAGAGCGGGCACTGGACAGGCCCTGCCCCTGAGGAGGGGGGAGGCCCACCTGAGAGTCAGGAGGGAGAGTGTGAGGGGAGGGCCGGGGGGGCTCCTTCTCGAGGACGCACCTCCTCTTCCTCTGTCGTGGCTGCAGGAAGAGCCCAAGCTGGTCAGGAAGGCCCTCCAGCTCGTGCAGGGCATCTCCCTGCGTCTCCCTCCCACGCCGCACTGCCCCAGAGGGCTGAGGCAGCTTGCTGGGCGCGCACCTGTGGGGCCCACCTTCCCTTGTCACTGCCGTCCCCTGCCCTGGGGTGTGTCCAGCTTCGGTTTCCTTACCTGCACGAGAGCGTCTTTTCCCTCTTTGGTGCCCGAGCTGGCCGCGGCAGGGAGACACACCGGGTTCCTCTGGCCTGACCTGTCCCCGAGTGCACGAGCCCTGGTCTGGCCCCCGGGCAGCGTGCACGAGCCCCGTCCGTGTCCCCTCCTCACGGGGCTGTCTCATGCTGTGACATGACCAGGTGGGGAGAAGGTCTCGTGGCCGTCCAGTGGCCGTCCAGCAGTGTGTGCCTGGGGCACCCAGTTCTGGGGCTTGAGGTGAGGAGGGGCGGCCCTGGTCTCCACAGAGCTCCTGGGCCCACTTCCTCCCCCCGAGCCACTGCTGTCCTGCAGCTCACCTTCTCTGCCAGCTATTCGACCATCCAGGCTGGCCTTCGGATGCTTTCTTCTCAAGTCCAGAGAAGGGCGGGTGGCTGGCCCTCAGTGGGGGCCGCTCCTTGAGGGACAGCGGGCACAGCTCAGACCCCTCCCTGGGCTGCAGCTGCAGCCGGCAGGAGCTGGTGGCTCACAGCCCTCAGCCGGACTCCTAGGGCCATGGCCAGGACCACACAGGAGTAGATGGGTCTTTCTGTCGAGGCTCTGACCTCCCTCCGCCCACCAGAAAAGGTATTTTGTCTGAAGCTGTTAGTAGGAGTTGCCAGGGGGAAGCGGCTGTAAATTACTAAACTATGTATTTTTGCAAGTAAGGTATTCAGCACATGGGAAGACAGATGTCCAGAGAGCGGGGCAGGCAGGGAAGCCAGGAAACCTGTGGAGACGGGCAGAGGTGATGCTCCCACCAGAGGCGGGCCTGACTTCCCAGCCCAGGCAGGACTGGCCGCCACCCAGCAGGAGCACCCCGAAGCCCCCTGTGGGCAGGATGGCGGGGACACCCTTAGTTTCTGGCACGGCCCCTTCCCTGGATGGCTGTGGGTTATAGGGGCGTCTGGGGGATCTCTGGGGCCACCCCACCTGGACCCCCTCCCCAAGGCCACCCGCCCATGGCACTCATGGCCTTTGACAGAACCTGCTTCTGACCCACCACCCTTTTGGGAGACAAGCCCAAACAAATCCTTGAAATTCCTGTTGGATCTGTGCTGGGCAGAGCCTCTCTGGTCAAACAGACAGACAGACTGCCCTGTGGGGTGTGCGCTTCAGCAGGGGGCAGGCCAGGGATCACTGGCCTTGACCTTTCAGAATTCCTCTACTTCCCTCCCTCTCCTTTAAATTGTGTTTTCTTTTCTTTCTCTGACTTCTCAGGAAGTGTTCTTAGACTGTTGATGGTCGGCCTTGCCCTTCCAAGTCCATGCAGCAAACACTGAATTTTCCTCCAAGCAATGCGAGGCTTCGGTATATTGTAGTTTCGTTACTCAAAATATTTTCTAATTTCCATGGTGGTTTCTGTGAACTGTGGGTGGTTTTGCACTGCATTGCTTTTCTTATCTTTTTGGTTTATGGTTTCTAGTTTGGCTTACCTATGGTCAGAAAATACATTCTATGTTATTTTAACTCTCTGATTCAATTGAGATTTGCTTTATGGCCAGCATGTGGTCAATTTTGGTAAACGCTCTATTTGTTGATTTAAAGAGAATGCAGTTGTTGGAAGCAGAGCTGATCTTTATCATTTGGGTTGAGTTAATTCATTGTGTTTCTAGTCTTCTGTATCCTGACTGATTTTTTTCCTCTTTGCTCTGTCGGTTCCCAAGAGGAATGCTAAAATCTGCCACTGCGATTGTGCATTGTCTCTTTCTCATTCTCGTTGGCTCGTTTTTGCTTTACGAATTCTGAGGCTATGTTAGTGGGTGCGTACACATTTGGAACTGTGTGTTTTCCTAGTGAACTGACCCTTCATCTTCATGAAGTGGCCTTCTTTGTCTAGCAGTACCTCTTGCCTTTATGGCCTCTTTCATCGGATAGTAGTAGCTGTACCAGCTTTCTCACCATAGTGTTTGTGTGGTATCTCTCTCTGCGATTATTTTTACTTTCAGGCTTTCCATGGCACTCCAGTTAAGCATAACTTGAAAACAGCCACAGATAAAATGCAAATAAATGGGCATGGCCAAATCTGGCCTGCACTGAGCTATATTTGGCCCCTGGTCCAGAGGGATTTCTTCTGCTCTGAGGGGCAGTGAGGGGAGGGATTGGGCTAGCTGAGGCCAGACTCCAGTCTCTGTGAGGACTGGCTTGGTTCTCCTGTCCTCGCTCCTCACTTCTAACCCCTTAGAGCCCCAAGCCAAGCCCCTCCTCCTCCTCCCTGGCAGATGCCAAACACCCAGGAGGCCGCTGGGTGCCCTCCTCAGCTCTCAGCCTCTTGGCCACAGTTACCCAACACCTGATGGGAAACCTGTGACAACCTCAGGCTCATCTCTCAAAGCCTTTCTTCCCTGGGATCTCAGACCCCATGTCCTTGACGCTTTTTTTGCTCATAATAAACATTATAAATAAATGAATATTATAGTATATTAGGGGATGGTGAGTACCATGAGCAAAGATACCAGGGCAAGGAGATGTGGAACATGTGGCGAGGGCAAGTGTGATATGCAATAGGGTGGGTTAGGATTGATTTCTTTGGGATGTGGCATTTGAAGAAACTTTGAAGGAGACAAGGGAGTTAGTCACGCAGATATAAATCTAGGGAAGAGCATGTCAGGCAGGAACAGCCGTGCAAAAGGGGCAGAGAGGGAGCAATGTGGCTGAAGTCAGGGTCTGGCGGGGAGCAAGACATGTGGGTGTTCCAAGGACGTGGCTTGACAGGGGAGCCTCTAGAGGGTTCTGAGTGGAGTGATGGATTGGACTTTTTTTTTTTTTAGTAAGCTCTGTGCCCACCGTAGGGCTTGAACTCACAACCTCGAGATCAAGAGTCACATGCCCCACTGACTGAGCCATCCGGGCGCCCCAGATCTGACTTCTATTTTTAAAGGACCTCTGTGCTGCTGTTTTGAGAACTGACTGTCAGAGGGTAGAGGCAGCGAGGCCAATCCCGGAGCTAAGGTGGTCACCCAGGCAAGAGGGGGTGGCGGCCAGGATGGCGGCAGGGAGGGGGGCCCTGGGTGATTTCTGAGGGCGGGGCCACTGAGATTTCCCACAAAGGCGAGGAGAGGGGGCAGGGTGATATGTGACATGGGCCTCACTCCTGCCATGGCCCAGCGAGGGAGCTTGGGAGGGGCAGCGCCTTCACTTCTGTGTGGTCCGGCCCCCTTGGCCCCTCATTCCTAGAGGCTGTAGGGTCCCCCAGAGCAGCTGGAAGAGGAAACCCACTCCCACCACGAGTGACACTTGCCCCCCACTTGCGGACATGGGGGCTGGGAAGGGGGCCCAGGGCTCTCCCCGGGACCAGTCCCCAGGATGGAGGGGCAGTACCGCCAGCAGTGTGCATGTGGCCGCAAGGCTCCTAGCCGGATCGGCCCCAGGGGTGATGCGGCGCTAGCAGATAGGAAGGGGCAGGTGGCCGGACTTCACTGAATCGGAGCTCAGCCTCGCGCTCTAAGTTTGAGATGCCTTTTCCACATGAAACGGGGTGTCAAGGAGCCCAGATGGGCATAGGAGTTGGGAGCATGGGAGAGAGGGGGGGACGGGGGCCCTGGCCCACACATGGTACTTAAACCACGGGATGGGAGCCCCCCAGGAGGGCAGGCGCGGGGGGAGCAGTGGGGCGTCAGGAGGAGGAGGGAGAAGGCAGGCAGGCAGAGGACTGACCCGGAGTGCACGGCCCAGGGCACATGCCAGGGCTCCCCTGGCTGCGCCCCGGGGTCGCAGGTATTCCCGCTCTGTGTTCACGTGGCTGCTGCGTGAGCCCAGGGCAGCCTAGCAGACCCGGCTGGGGAAGGGGGTCCTGCAGGGGTCTAGGCACAGAGAGCACTGTGCGGGGAGGGGCGAGAGCCGGCGGGGGGACCCCCTCGGCAGGTGCCCCCCATGACGTGGGGACAAGGGGGAGGCAGAGGGAGCAGGGGCTGGATGCATCCACCCGCCTCGCCTCCCATTTCCCCCCGTGCACCCCCACCCCCGCTCACACACCGCCCCCAAGAAACACTCGGGCTGCATTGTTCATTTAATGACGCCGTTCTTCCATTTTCCTGGCACGTGCTGTGTCCACCCCCCATGGCCTCCTTGGTCGGCCACGCAGATGTCCCACGATGCCGCGTGGGGTACCCTCCCCTGGCCCGGGGCTGGGTGTACACTACTTCTTCTTTGGCACTTTCTCCTTTTTGATCAATTCAGAAAATTCTAGAATAGGAAACATATTTCTGGACCCCAGGGTGGCCATGAAGGGCCTCAGGCCCTGGTTCCTATCTTCAAACCTCCCTCCCCACCTCAGACCACTCCCTCCGTCCAGGGCGCCTCAGACCTCTGCTCCCGTCCAGCCGAGCCCCCCGCCCGGCCTTCTCCACCCACCTCTCCCCGACTCAGAAACCTGCAGCGGCCCCCTGCCGGCCTCCCGCTCAGCACCCCCAACACTTGCCTTCCCATGTCCTGGGCGGGGGGGGACGGTTACCCAGCCGAGACGGCTGTGAACTTTGTGCCTGGGGTCGGGGAGCCTACTCAGTGTTGTGCCCAGATGGGCACTTAACGGTGCCGTGGGGTCCCGCAGGGGCGGGCTGGGAAGACCCGAGAGGGACCTCTGGCCCCGCTGTCTGTGCGCACCCACCTTCAAAGTCAATCCTCCCGTCCCCATCCGTGTCGGCCGCCTGGATCATGGCTTCTGCCTCCTCGTCTGTCAGCGGGGCGGTGGGCCCGCTGCTGGGAACGGTGGTTAGGATGTACCTGGGGCCAGGGGTGGGCTCTGGTCAGAGCCGAGGGGTGTCCGGCTGGTGCCCAGTGGTTTGCAAGGTGCTCACTCCCCATTTTACAGGTAGGGAAACTGAGGCCCTGCTGGAGAGGGGTCTCTGGGCCTGGCCCCAGTGCTGTGGACCTGGACTGTTTCGGGGCGGCCCCACCTCCCGAGAGGCCGGCTGGGGCCCACCGGGGAGGGAGGGGCACCCGGTCTTCTGCTGAGGTGGGCCTGGTTGTCGTGGACTGGGCCCCAGGCCCCGGGCGCAGGACCCCGATCCCCAGCCGCTGGCCATTACTTGATCTCATTCCACTCGATGAAACCACTCTTGTCCTTGTCCAGGGTCTGGAAGGCCTGGCGGATGGCGCTGTCCAGCTGCCCCGAGGCCTGGAACTGCTGCATGTACTCCAGGAACTTGAGGTAGTTGAAGGAGCCTGGGACAGCCAGACACAGGTCACGGGGGCGGAGGCAGGCGTCTGCCCTGGGGCGGGGGCTGCCGTGGCCTGCTCTTCCCCCCCCCACCCCACGTGTCCCGCGCCGCTCAGCCCGGGGCAGGGGGAGCCCACAGATGGGCTCCCGTGTCCACTGCTTCCTTGGCCATGGCTGGGCCGGGCCTGGGGCAGGGAGGCCATGCTGGGGACGAGGGGTGTGCTACATACCGTGATGCCTCATGTCTGTGGGCAGCATCTCTATGTCCTTGTCCGACAGGGACGTGCCCATAGCCAAGGCCATCTTCTTCATCTGCGAGGAGAAGTCCTCATCCATCCTGGCTCTGCGGCGGACAGGAGCAGCTCGGTGGGCGCGCACAGGCGGCGCGGGGGCCCTCTGCCTATCCCTCCCCCTCCCCCAACCCTAACTCTAACAGACACAGTCCCCACAAGGCACCAACTCCCGCCTCCCGAGCAGGGTCTCCAGGGTGCAGAGGCCCTTGGGGTGCCTGGCCTCGCAGACACTCCTGTGTCCAGGGCCCTGGGGGAAGATGCGCCTGAGACCCCACCTCTTGCCGGCTGGCCACCTTGAGTACCACTCCCATCTCACAGAAGAGGCTGAGGCCCCCAGACAGCAAGTGATGAGCTCGGGGTCCTTCACTCTGCTTGGAAGAGGTGGTGGCCGCCCTCTGACCCTTCAACGCCACCAGGGAACTGCCCTCTGTCCTTCCAGGCCCATCTCATAGCTGCCTCCTCCGGGAAGCCGCCTTGCTTACCCGAAGCCCCACCTCCTTCCGCCCTGACTCCTGGGCCTCGCTCTCCCAGACCCCAGACCAGCAGGCCTCGGGCCTCCCGGCAGGCCGCTCACTGCCTGCAGCGAGTTGGCTCTGCATTGAGCAATGCCCAGCTGCTCTGAGCAGGGAGGGCCACTGCCCCCTTTCCAGTCATCTGCCTGCAGGCCCTGTGGACGTGTGCGTGTCACTGTCCTCAGTTCAGAGAGAGTCCGTGGCAAACAGGAGCCACCGAGGCAGGCCAGGAGTCCAGCCAGGAGGGTGGGGGTCTGGTCACAGGCTGAGGGGCCGGCAGGGGGGGACCGGGCTGTCCTGTGGCCCTCGAGGCGGTGCCTTGTGACCTGCTGGGCTCTCGGGTTGCTGTCCCCAGGGGGGGTTGGGTTCTGGGGCTGGTGGCAAAACAGCTATTTCAGAGGCTCCTTGGCCCTCTCAAAAGTTCACGGGCTGGCAGAACGTTCTGGAACATACTCCCATGTCCAGGAAGGGCAGCCCAGTGGCCCGTGCATCCTGAGTGGAGCTGGGCAGTGGCCAGGGGAGTCTCCTCTCCTCCCGAAAGAGAAGCCACGGGTCAAAGGTTGCAGCTCAAGCCTGGCAGCCTGGGGGTGCAGGGAGTGCTGGATAGAGCCCCGGGACCGTGACCTCCTTCCTGACCCTGGCCGTGCCCCACAGCTGTTCTGTGAAATGGGGAGATCCCTGCCCATCCTGCCCCTTCTCAGGGTCTTGTGAGGAGCCGGCAGGGAAGGGAGATACTGGGGAAGGGGCTATGGGGCCTGAGCTGGGTCCCCCGTGCATCATGCCCAAAAGCCGGCTCCTGGGGGGCCGGCCTGGGAGGCGGGGTGGGGGTGGTGAGCGGGGAGCCAGGACAGACCAGCTGAGCCCCTGTTCCCCTCTCCCATGCCAGAATCTCAGAACTCCATTCTGGAAGGAGGGGTTGTCCCGCCTGCCCCTTGGGGCCCCATCAGAGCCAGTGTCCCACGCTTTATGAAGAAGGGGCTGGGCCAATTTCCAGGCCAGGTCTGGCAGAGCCTGGGGTCGACATCCCGTCTGCAGAGCACGCTGGGCGCCCTGGGCTGTGTCTGTTCCCCACCCAGTCCTACCCCACTGCTCTCGGGAGGTACCCCCCACAGGAAGGCAGGGGAGCCTGAGATCGGAGCTGGTGCGGGGGCAGGACCTGGGGCCTCGGGCTGCTGGTGGTTTATTTATAGCCCTGATCCAGGGCCTGGGATGGCGTCTCTCACCCCCAGAGGGAAGCCGACGTGTCTCACCAGAGCCGGGGGGTGGGGACTGCGGGCACCACATGAAGCCAGCCCTCTGGTGCCCTGCGCCCCCCGGCCCAGCCTCCTGGGCTGCTCCCACTTTGTCCTCCTCGGACGGGACCCCTCCCTCCTCCCGCCTTGCTGCCTTCCACAGCCAAAGCAGGACTGAGCTCTCAAACCTGGCTAAGACCCCCCAGACCCCCACCTGTCCCGGGTATTGCTGTGCCCGGAATGCCCTCCCAAGGCTGGCAGGGGCTTCGCCCCACCCCAGACCACCGTGGACCGCCTGCGTAGCCCTCCTGGGGGCTGTGTTCTGCTTCTAGCATCTGCCAGTGAGTCCCCAAGTTCAGATGCCGATACGAGAAAAATTGCTGCATGGGCTGGCGGGCTGGTGGGGGGAGCTGACAGAGGCAGGGGCCCCAGCAGACGGGGACTGGGTCCCAGGGGTCCAGAGCTGACTTCGTGTGCCCGCCGGAGTCAGTGGGTCTGTTGGCCTCGGACCCCCTGCCCGGCCAGGCTCCCTGGCCCCCCAGTCAGCACCTGGGGCCCTGAGGTCAGTGAGCAGGAGAGGCACCCTGCTCCCCCAAACCCTAGCACTTTCTCAGAGGCCCACATAAGCACGTGCGTGCTCACATGCCCACCCCTGCAGACACAGGCGCACACGGCTGCCTCTAAGACTGGGGCTCCCTTGGGGCTGCCCCTCCCCTTCCGCCGCCTCCTCCTGCCTCCCCTGGACCTCCCTGGGGTCTCCTCAGCCCCTTGGGCCTCCGCTTGCCTACGGATGAGAATGAGGCCACAAGCTTTGGCCATGCAGCATGGGCAGCTCTGGCTGGGCCCAGAGCCCATACCACCCCTCCCTGGGCAAGGCTCACCTCTGCCTGGTTTCGCTCGAGGGCTCTGGGGAGGCAGGTCAGGCTGGGGGTGCTGATAGTCTGTGGGAGCTCCAGCTTTTATACCTGCAGCCACTGGGCCTATTTACAGCTTGGGCTGCACCTGTCCTCCCCAGCCCCTGCCCCTCCCGGGCACTCCAGCCTGGCACTGGCCTGCCTCCCCCAGGGGCTCACTGGCACTTGGCACATCCACGCCGGGCCGGGCAGACGGACTGTCAGCAGCGCCCGGCCTCCCCAAGCCCAGGGTGGGGGTGGGGAGAGTGGCCAGCACTGGGGGGCAAGAGGAGTTTCTGTCTGTTGCATTAGGGCCCACCCTGCCCGCTGGCCTTACAGGGTGAGGGTGGTGGGCAAGAGAGGGCTGGCCGGGCCAGCCAGGGTCACCCAGGATGTGCAGGCCGGCCAGCATGTCCGAGAAGCCACCAGAAGCCCCTGGACAATGGGACCGCATCCAGTGAGCAGCCGGGCTGGGCAGCTGTCCTTTGTCCCCGGGTCGCTGTAGGGGGCCAGGGAGCCGCGTCAGGGCTGGCCATAAAGGTGAGGGGGAGGAGAGGCCGGTCTGTCAGGCCACGCTGCCTCCCGCAGTCTCGGGGAGCAGGGCTGTGTGACCCCGGGCGGGGCTGGCCTCTCTGGCTGGGGAGGCCCCTTGGAGGACAGTCGCCAGGTTGAGAACGGGGACACCAGAGACTGATGTACCCGAGAGCCCCTCCCAGCTCTGTCCTGCCCGGAGACCCCTCACGTCCACTGTTTTTCACAAACGGTGCCATGGCCCAATACCAGGGCAGACCCTGGGGTGCAGCCTGTTCCTGGCCCTGCCCACCACTTTCTCTGTGCGGGTTGCAGCGTGGACGCGGCGCTGAGATCTGCCTTCTTGGTGTGAGAGTCGCTCACACATCACTGGGAAATTCATATGACATTTTGTGCGCTACCTTGTGTCACAGCTTCATAAGAGGCTGGCGAGCTGAGGACCTTCCAGAAATTTCCAATGGCCATGTGCTGCTGGACCCCAAACAGATCCTAGCATTTTGCTCGTAGAGATGCTATTTCAGCGTGCGTCTCTGTCCAGGGGAGTGTCCCCGGCTCCTTGGCAGCGTTCACAAGAACGCTGATCGGGATAATTAGGACCAAGGGTGGAGGGTTCCACATCCTTCCCCCGACGCTTTCCAGCACACCTGAGCGCTCCGTGCTCCAGTGTGGGGTGCACACCTGCGCATCCGCACCTACACCGAGGTCCCCAGCAGGCACACGGACTGCCACCCGACGTCCGTGTCCCTACAGCGGAAGGCCGCTCTGCACAAAAGGAATGAACCGCACACCATGATGCGGATGGATCTCGACACCTTACATCCAGGGAAAGAAGCCAGTCACAGAGGGCCACATAGCGCCTGGTTCCATTTGTGTAAAATCCCCAGAATTGGCAAATCCATACAGACAGAAAGCACGTTGGTGGTTGCCGAGGGCTGGAGGGGAAGGGAGTGAGGAATTCATGTTTAACAGCTTTGGGGTTTGGGAGTGGGGAGAATGTTCTAGAACTTAATAGAAGTGATGGTTGCACATACTGAGTGCTAAATGCCCCTGAATTGTTCATGTTAAAATGGTTTGTTTTATATTATATGAACACCTCGATTAAAAAAAAGAAATATATGGAATGGGAAACGTTGCTTCGAATAAAGCATACACCAAACAGAAAACATAAATAAGCAGCACTGGAGGGTCTCACAGCGGGACTGGCCCAGCGTTGAGCCCTGCTCCGCCCGGCCCTCTGGGGGAGGCGTCTTCGGGAGGGCCCGGTCTGAGTCCATCTCTGCCTGGGCCGCACACGAGGGGCGGGGAGCCTGATGTGAGTTTCCAGGCCCCTGGAACCAGCGCCTGCCCTGAGCTGACAGATGGCCGGCTCCTGGCGGCCCCTCTGGTTTCATTTCTGTCCGGAGTCGGGCCACACCTCTGCGCCCACAGCCCCGGCCCCTGCTCTGGGCTGAGCTGGCCTGGAGGGGTAGCGGGAACCACCTCGCAGCTCTGGGGACACTGTCATCCCAGCTGGCCTGCTCTCTGCCCCTCCCTCTGCCCTCCAGCCCTGCCTTGAGCCCAAGGAGTGTGAGACCAATTAGCCCTTCCTCTTCAGCGAGCCATGTTGACATGTCGGACAAGGCTCCTTTGAGCCTCTGCTGCCTCCCAGGTCCTGGCATGTTCCCCTGGGGGTTCCGGGGGTGCCTGGCTGGTTCTGAGCACTGGCACCCTTGGTGGCTGCCCCCTGCTCTCTGAGGGCTCTTCAGCAAATGCCAGGCCCCCTCTCCTCGTCACCCTGCCAAGCATGGCTGTGGTGGGCAGGCCTGTGGAGGAGAGTTCTGGGCGGGGGGGAGACAGGCTCATCCCCTTCTCAGTGGCACCCACCCCCCACAGGGG